CGCGAAAGTAATTCCACAAAAACTTTTTCGTAGAATCTTTTAAAAATTGAGTATATTGCAATAAATGACTAGTACTTTTAAAATACAAAATTTCAGAAAAATTGACCGAACGAAAAAAAGTTCTTGCATTACACGTGATAAAATTTCAACTCAACAAGATCACGTCATTTCGTTGCCAGTCCCATGCTTAAACAATGGTAGGGAGCCACCTTAAGCTTGCTATTTAGTTGAAATACACCTCATTCTCACCTTGCCTCCAGAGGCACATAGAGAACCATCAGGGGAAACTGTCACGCAGTTGAGGTAACCATTGTGACCAATATGGTTGGTTTTAAGACGACAGTTGGTCAAATTCCACACTTTTACCAGCTTGTCCCAACCGCATGAAACTATGATCGGGTTCTGCGTGTTCGGTGAGAAACGTACACAGCTCACCCATTCGGAATGTCCTTCATCCTAACAGAAAGTAAAACATTTCACTTAAAAGTTGCTACCAATTAGAAAACAGGCTGCCTTATATGGAAAACAGGCTGCATTATATGGAAACCAGGCTGCCCCGCTAAGCGAACTCCAGCCTGGTAAGCGAGATCTCGCTGTGTAGTTATTTTTATAGTAAAAATTATTGTGTGTTTATGTGGACAAGCGGGCTTGCATGGTTGCCGAGATCTCGCTTGAAAGAAGCGAGATCTCGCTTACCGGGATGGAAATTTCTCCATATAAACACTCACAAGGGGGTTAGCCCAGTTGCCGGGATGAAAGTTCAAAAATACCGCCGCAACTTATTTTTAACAACTGTCAAAACAATGTCAAAACAACAAAATTGTCCCGGCAAGCGGGATGAAATTTTCTCATATAAACACAAGAGAAATTCATCCCGCTTCCGGCCTATCTCGCTAAGCGGGCCACTCCGGCATCCATATAAACAGGCCCTTAGAGGGGTGGATAAAGTATCAAAACCACAGGACCATTGGTCGTAGAAAAATGTTTGAGTTGTCAGAAAATATTTCTGTTTTTGGAATGAAAATACAAACAAAAGCACCCAATTTTGGTTGAAAGTCTGGCAGGACTAAGCTTTGGCAAGAGAATACGATGACGACATTGAGAATTATCCAATTTTGTCATATTAATAATAAACAAGTAATCATACGATGTTGCTGGTACATTTAGGGATTAATAGTACTCGTGATGTTTGGAGATTTTGCCAAATTGAATTTCGCAAAAATTTCCTAACATCACTCGTGCTATTAATCCCTAATTGTACTCACCATCGCATGACTACCTATACTAATCATATACATGAAAAAATTTCTCAATTCTGTTCGGCAGTGCAACTTTTTGGAAATACCGTACAGTGCCAAAAAAGAAATACAGTGCACATTTCATTGACTATTCAGGCTTTCTGATTGGTTTAAAATATAAAACAATAACAAAGATAGCCAAAAAGGTATAGCAATTTCCAGCAGAAATAATTACAGCAATTTCAAAAAACATACACCCACGAGTTTTTCAAAGACTTTAAATTGGGTCATTCCAGAAAACATCCATACCACCCCCACGGAGGAAATTGCCAGTTAACCCCCCTACCCCCTTCAGATGTCCTATTACATTTACTATTATCAGAAACAATTTTTACTCCCCTCCCCCTCCGGACGACAGAATTTCCTCCGTGGGGGGAGTGTGGATCCATTGCACTCGTCCTTCGGACTAAGGCAATTTTGATAGTCTGAAAGACTCAATCGTGCATGTTTTTTCCTGAATTGCACTCAAAACAATACTATTACCTAAACAAATTCAGGGTTCGTAGTCTCCAAGACCAACAAAATTCTTTGGACTTTCAAATATTTTTTCTGCCTATTGTCAAAGACTTTTCAAAGACCTTTGAGAGCAATCAGGTGTCAAAAAATTGCGATGTATAAGCACCATTTTTACCAGGTAATTAGTCCCGTCAGTCACATCCTAAAATGCACTTTTTCGTCGATATTTGTGAAAATCTTGCTTCAATCAATCTATTTTATTAGCTAGGAAATCGCATAATCAAATAATCACTAAAGAATTTAAAGACTTTTAAAGACATTCTTTGCTTTTTCACACAATTCAAAGACTTTTCAAAGACCTTAAAGACCTGCATTCAAATTTAAAGACTTTCAAGGATTTCAAAGACCGCTACGAACCCTGTAACATAATACCTGAATAGTATATTTACAGACACCCAGAGTATTCCACAGTTTAATGCTCTTATCACGAGATCCAGAGACAATCTGCCTGTTGTCCGCGGAGAAAGCAACGCTCAGCACATCGTTGGTGTGACCAATAAATCTCCGTGTTGTTTTGCAGCTGCAAATTACAAATATATATATATATATATATGTTTGAATTATCTCAGAAATAAATTTCATCAATGGAAATTTCAATTTTCGTTACTTACGCATTCAAGTCCCAAAGCCGAAGGGTTCTGTCCCAAGAGCCGGACAAAGCGAACTGACCATCAGATGAGATGACAACGTCCGAGACAAAGTGGTTATGTCCCGTCAGAGCATGTTGAGCGTGGCCATAATTCGTTTCCTCTTTCGTTAGTTGCCAAATGATTATGCTCTTGTCTACAGGAAGAAAGAGAGAGCTCTTTTTACAAGAATAAAGTACAGTATATTCGAAAATATAGCTGTATAACAACCTCGACATGTTCACATATTTAACCATGATATTGAACTAAAGCATTCTGAGTATTTTCTCGTGAGTTCACAAATCAACTGAATCGTTTCAAGAAATCGACACGCGCTAACAGTATAAGTAACTTCTACTGAAGTTCCTCTAATCGCTATTCGAAAAGCAGAAAATGTATGGTCAAGCAGTTTTTTTAGGGTGGTACTGGACTTCTCTAGAGTGTAGTAGACACCACTAGGTGGGGTGCCGCGGGGAGCAACATACGCAGCTCAGTATAGCGTATTATTCAGTAATCATGTATAGAAATATTTAATAGACTATATCATCATTGCTGCAATAGACGTAACCAAGATACAAGATAATGTCCATCTTCTATGAGGTGCAATGGTCGAGTATTTCAATGTACACTACAGCACCGTAATAATTCAGTACAATATAAAGTTCACAACTTGAAACTAGTGGGTTAACTATTAATGTACAAAATCTTCCCCTTGACAAATAGAATCTATTGGAGTTAGACAGATTAAATGGTTCACTGGTACTCAATGATTCAAACAGCTATATTGGAAGATAGCTTAGTTAACCAATAATGCACACAAAGCTCTATACTCTAATAGCTCTGCATCCTAGACTCGACATGAACACATTAACCACAAATTTAAAGAGAACACTTTATTAATTAATGTAATTTCATTCAAAGTCTCTGGTTGTTTTTGATAACAAAGGCTTAAGAGGACATTTATAATTCTGCTTTAATTGCTGGAAAAAAGCACACCTCTTTTCCATGAAAAGGGCACATTTTCTCTTTGCACAAAAAGTGTGTGGGGGGGGGGGG